ATTTTTGGGATTTCTTAACATGTATATAAAGAGAGAAATGTACTAGAGAAAAAGCAACAATAAAATACCGTCCTTTTGTCATAAACTCAGACTAATATCTAACACTTTCACTTACCTTGTGCCACATCTCCACGCCTCTTTCGACGTTACACGAACGGCGATCTCGACATAGCGACAGATTCGCCGTTATTACCCCCAACACTATTCTTATTCTTATTTTATTATAAAAACTATTCATATTATTACTATTATACTTACTAAACAAAATACTTTCCAAAATATATATTCAAATAGAATTAGTGGATTTATTATTTGTTTCAAGTCAACTTTCAAATTTAACTTTATTATAGTAACACTTGCTATACTATTTCAAATTTTTTAATATTTTTATTTGACCAAAAAACTAAAATTAGTTTACTTCCTTCAAATGATCAATAATCTTCAATCATTCAATTAGATTTTGCTTAAAAATCAAAACAAAAACTGAATCTGTTTAAACTAATTTTATATCACAATAATAATAATCATAATAATAATAACAATTACATTATTATTAACAACTATAATAACAAATAACATCATCTATACTCTATTATTTATAATAATCAAAGAGTCAGAGAGATAAAACATTCAAGGATTCTTTTAAGAAAATAATTGGTTTTCTATTTATAGATTCTATAACTTACTTTATTTAGTTTTAGTTTTATTTATATTTATTTTTTTTCTTAACTACTTTATTTACAAATTTATAAAAAAACCATAAAATTTTTTAAATAAATAAGTATAATCACTATTTAAATACAGTTAATATATAGTATTGTTTTGAATTTCTTTTTTAATATTAGCTAAATATGTATGTATAGGCAAGTTAGTATTTAACTTATTATTATATATATATGTATATAAAAAATATTGTTTTTTTTACAATATATATTTTGTTATATATAATATTAAATAAAAAAATAATATTTATCTATAAGAAAAATCTCCTTTCAAAAAAAATTTAATATAAGTTATATTAGTTAATTATCTAAAATAATAAGTGAATAGTAAAATAGATATAATATTTATTAATTGAAAAATATATTTATTTTTGAATAATAAGATTTATGTTTAATTAAATATTTAAATTTAAATATATTTAATTAAATTATATAAAAATAAAATTTTTGATTTTTTTTTTTATTACAAACAAATATTAAATATAAAATTTTATTTAATTTTTTTAATAATTATAAGTTACAAATAAATTAAAATAAAAAAAGTTATATAAAATAAAAATTTTACTTTAACTTATATCAATATAATAATTTTTATAATATAAAGAATATTTTAATTTAAAGTTATTTTAATTTAATATTTGTTTTAAAAAAAGAACTTGATAAAAAAAATTTTTGAAATTATAAATAATAATAATAAGTACAGTCAAACCTGGATATAATGAAGCCTTTGAACTAATTAATAAAAATTGAAAAAAATTATTTAAAAATTCATTATAAAGAATTTTTAAAATTTTATATAATAAAATTCTTTTTTTATAATGAATTTTGAATAAATTCAAAATTCAAAAATTCGTTATAACCAGCATTTTATTATAGCTTTGTTATAAACAGGTTTGTTATATCCAGGTTTGACTGTATAATAATTTTTTTAAAATTTTAAATAAAAAATATCAAATAAATTATTTAAATATATTAATTAATTTTAAAAAATATATACTTTAAATGATAATTATTAAAATTTAAATTAAATCAAATAGTTTATAAACTAATAATAATATTTTTATTTTTTAAAATTTTTATTTAAAATCTAAATTTACTTTTAAAATAAGATTATAAATAAAAAAACAAACAAACTTAAAGAAATTTTATAATTATATAAATTAAATAAATTAATTTAATAAAAATTATATATTATTAATATTCTTTATTTGAAAAAATAAATAAATAAATAAATATTAATACTATATAAATATAATATTATTATTTAAATGTAACAAATAAAAATTAATTAATAAGTATTATATTTTAATGTTTTAGATTAATAATTTATATTTTGAATTAATAGAATTATTACAGAAATATAAATTAAGTAATTTTGTTTTTTATATATTAATTTCAAGTTTTTTTGAAGTTTTTTTAAAATTATTCAAAAAGAAATTTTGAAAATTTAAAAAAAGGCATACAATATATTATAAATAAAAATTTTTTTTTACAATTATATTTGGCAATATGCATGCATAATTGTCATACGTAACGTACCAATCGGAGGAATGCTGTATAAATAATGAGCCGAAAGTTTTATATACAGAAAAAAAAACATGAAAGAATAACATAATTTGTCAACTAATGTTGCACAAACGATGATTATTTACAAGTTTGGTTTAAAAAATTCACTCGAGTATTACATTTAATGAAGAGGTGTAAAAGATTTTTTTTTGTTTTTTTTTCTTCTGTCGGCCTAAAACAATATATATATGCTTAAACAAAGTAAAGTTGAAAATACAACTAGACATAACTAATGAAATATTAGGTTTTATGCGAAAATGCCATGGCAGTTTCTGTTACTCATCAAATCTAAAAAATCATTTGTTTTGTTGACCGATATTTTGTGTATTTATATAAAGACCCCCTCCTCACCATCATAACAATTTTTCCCAAACACATAATACCACAAATTAGAGTATTATTTCCGGTTCTATTTAACACGTGATTTACGTCACACATCATATAGCTTATCATTATTGATAACTCGTATGATTTATGCTTTTACTGATTGTTAATTTCCTTTTATAGTCTGGGAAGACTGATCGAATAAAGGCAAAAAAAAAAATCGCCACTCTCTTTATGTTCACCTATTTACAAATTGGCTAGTATGTCGGTAGTGCCTTTGCCCCAGCATACAGTATCGCAGCAAAATACGCCACAACAAAGAAGACACGTATGCTATTGGATGGAGTGTAACCAGCCGTTCCCAAATATGATGGAGATTCAATTACACCTTAAGGACCTTCATATAGAGTTACTGGATAAAGGTTTATCATCATTTCAATGTCACTGGAAAGATTGTGATGAAATTGGTTTTGAGTCGAAACATAAGTTAATTCAGCACATACAGGAGAAGCATTTTCATTTGTCCAATACTCTCTCAGTTAAAAAGAAAGACATCAATGTAAGTTCATTATGATTTATTTAGTTGTCACATGACTTATATTTTAATCACCAATGACCCCGATTCGACAACAGAATCTTGATGAAACACACACTAATGGAAAACTAACTGACTCGCGACCAGTCCAACTTCGCGACGAACTTAATTATAATTCTAATAATATACAACGTCCAAACGAGCCTTCTAATTCGGTTTGTTTGAACTCTTTATAATATGTTTTCGATAAGTTATGAAAATATTGATCTCACAAAAAACTAAACCAGGTAAAGGAAGTCATATTTATTGAAGATGATGATCCCGAATCTAATAATAATTCAGCAAAAAACCGTGTTATTTCTTCGGAGATTAGTAGACCTCAGGTTCAATTTATATAATCATTATCTCTCGCTTACATATATGTGTTCCTGCATCAATTAACTGAACATGTTGCAAACAGGTTTTGGACAATCATAGTTCTAATGACGGTGACATTAGCCAAGAGGTGATATCTCCAAATATGACCAGTTCTCCTAAAATCGATACTAGTGGATCTAATAAAACAGGGTTAAGCACATCTAGCCATCTTATGAAAATACCAGAGGAGAAGTCTCAATTATCATCTAATTTGTTGAATATTGTTCCTCAGCCTTCTATATCAAAACAACTGTTTCGAGCAGTTTATTCGTATAACACAACCTCAGATCAAAATAATCCTGAAACTTCAATGCAAGAGATTCTGACTGTTAAAAATAATCAGGAAAACTCTATTCGGTCACCTTTACAAACTGAAAGTGACCAAGTAAGTACTAATAAAATGGCATTAATAATTACAATTTATTACTTCTTTTAGCATTTTATACTAAGAACATTTTTTGATTTATCTTTAGTCACCCTCTTCTGTACCATTTGAATCCTTACCTGTAGATCAACAAAACGAGAAACTACGACTTTTGGTTTCTCGACAAGAGCGAGAGATAAAAAAATTGAAATCGAAAAATGCACTTCAAGAGAAACAATTAGAACAAACCGAGGCGGAGCTTGAGATACAGACAAGAATTTCAAAACTTTTGCAGGACCAGAATCGTCGTGCCGACGATAAGTTGAGATCTATGTGGTCTAATATGTTGTGTAAAAAAGTTCATATGCGTGATGAAGAACACATGACCGCGAGATCTGCGAAAAGGCAAAAGCAAGAACATACAAATACAAAAGATAATGATGAAAAACAAATGGAAATTGATTCATGGGAACAACCCTTAACAGATTCTACGATTTCAATTGTAACACAAGCTTTCGTCTGCGAATGGGGAGGATGCGGAAAAGTATTTAGAACAAAAATGGCATTAAAGGCCCATATACCATCAGAACACCTTGGTGGAACAATTTTACGTGTCAAGGTTGATAGAATTATTCCGAATACTGCAACGTAGAGGTTTAGAGATTATATTATAAAAAAGGGACACTTATGGGGACGAAGTAATGTATTTTGTTTCTATTTTTCTTTATCTACTTGATATACATTAACAATTAAAAGTACATAGATATCTATAAAAAAATGTTAATTGAATATACATATATAGAAAGACTGTGCAAGTTTATGACATTTAGACATCCTAGGATATTTTATATTTGAAGTTGACCGGTGAAATATTATATGTGAATAATAACAATTTTATTTAAGTACGAAGATATTTTACTTGAACGAAAGCCTATATTATGTATAAGTTATTATATAAGATAAGATCTTAATTTAATTAAAAAAAATTATGGAATTTTGTCATTTAAATATCAATCTTCAATATAGTTTTTTTTTGCACCTGATATACATAAAAAAAAGGAACCATGTTTACTTAAAAAAATATATATTCGTGAATAGGATTCCAATAATTGAATTGAGTGACTCGTGTACATTGGTGGATCATAACTCACCAAAACATTTTTACCTATACATGTTAGTTAAGGATGACAAATTCGAAAATCGAAAATTATTATTTTATTGTTACACGACATAATGTCGCCGAAATCTAGACAAAACGAAAGTTACATGGAAAAATACGCACCCACAAGAACAAGATAATTTAAATTATTGCAAATATAATATTTTAAATAATATTTTATTTTTTAAATAAATCCTATGCTATAATATTAATTATTAAAGCATATTTGTTACACACAATATATAATCTAAATTGTTATTATAATATAAAAAAAAAAATTATTTTAAATTAAATATATTGATTTAAACACTAGATAAAATTGTAATTTTAATATTTAATAAATTATATTAATAAATTTAAAAAATTAATGATCTTAAATATTTATTATTATTATTATTGCAAATAAGCATTAAATATATTGTATATATGATTTATTAAACATTAGTTTATAATTATTACATTAATGAAAAAAAAAAAACTCTTACCCATTTACTACTGATTTCTTGAAAATTTTCTTTTATAGTAATTTTCTTGAAAAAAGTACTTTTTTCTCTCTTTTTAACATGCCAACTATGCTATAAGCTCAAAAATATAAGAACTTTAAGGACCATTGTTGCATTGTGATAAAATCTTTGATCAAAACTCAAGCAAGTTTGAAAGTCTTGTTTGTTTTTTAGTTGTATGGAGAAAGACCTGTGGCAGTTTTTCTTCTTAACTTTATTTTTATGCATTTCTTCTCTACTAAAAATTATAAAAACTATTTTTATATTAATCTTCAACATTGCAAATTTATCTTTAAAATTATATTCAAGCAAAGTTATTGAGTCTCTTGTTTGTTTTAATCAAATCTTCACAATTATTTTTATAACATACAATGCTGCGCCACTCAAAATTTACAAAATTTTCATAACATAAAAACTAAAATTAATTCTATTTCTTCAAATGATTAATACAAACTCAACAACCAAGCAAATTTAACAATTATACCTTATGATAATCAAATTGGTTCAAATCTTTTTATAACAACAACAATATTATTATTTGGCAAAAATATTTTTAATAATTTTTTATATCATTCTAATATTATCAATATTATAGTTATATGAAAATATTAGACTTTTCATATGTCTTACTTAACTTTTAAACAATTATTATATAGTTTTATAAGCCCAAGCAACAAATCCAAAACCTAATCAAATATTTTTAAAAAAACAGTTGCCATTATAGTTTCATGATTCAGACAACATATCCAAAATCCAATTATAAAAATTTTTACTATTTCCATCCTTAATTTGGCTGTTTATAAATAAGTATAAGCCATTTATGAATCACTTTTAATATGGCATCACCTACTTGATATAATGTTATATTAAAAGTTTTATATATAATAGGTTAATATTAATTTAAATAAATACTTAATATAATAATATAAATAATATTTATTTAATAAAGTCTTATATTTTATACTTATTTATAGTATTAAAAAAAATTATTATTACAAACTCTCTTTGCTAATTCTTTTGTCAATCCAAAAAACAGATGTTCTTAAAAGATTTTTTGTCTTTATAATAATAAAGTCTATACACTTTCCTTAAAAACAATACTGGTTTTAACCAGTTGAATGAGCAGAAGCCACCACTTGTTTTATTTTTCTTTTTCAAATACTTTTTTTTATTTATTTTTGTGATTAAATACAAGAAATCCACCTAAAAGGTCTATAG